GGGAAACTTTGGCTGGCTGGGCTGAAACGAGGTGAGGTTGGCATGGAGAATAGTCATATTGGGTGAAGACCTAAGGAGACAAGGGGCGAATGAACACAGTGCTTTGAAAAGACATACTAGAAATGGTGAGAAATTGAAGATCTGCGAGCTGGGTTTCTGTGACAACACAGTCTTAGACTGGCTGAATGGCACGTGTTAAGTTTTTGTGAAATGCATTAACTACTTTTCAAGTGGTGTTCAGTTACACAGAGCTTTCATTAGTATGTGTTACTGAGATTAATAGTATGTTACTGACATGTTTATGATATTAGCTCATATGGAAGAGGTTAGGACAGAGCTTTGACTGTAATTTTGTGGGGGTTTTTTTGTGTTGTTTTGTTTTGTTATATATAATACTCTTCAGTTATGCTGTCATACATTGCTTTAGTGGTTGTTTTCCACTGGTTTCCTGACAGCAGTGCAGTGTTGGTAGCATAAACGTACAGGACAGCATGGGCAAGCTGAGTCTAATTTTTTCTTTTAACTTTTGAGTATTTGCCTCTAACTCTAGCAATGCTTATTTAATATACTTTAATTTGCTGTTTAATGTACTATAATTACTAACATTTTCTCAAAACTGCAAGCAATAAAAGCTATCCACTGAAAAAACTGCCCTAATCCCTACTGCTGTCAGATCTCGTGTTCTTTGGGGACTGAAGCTTGTTCTTTGCAGTCTTTGGTTCTGAATGTCTGTCTTTAGTCCTTCCCCCGGAACAGACCTGAAGGAAATGTCTTTTCCCTATTGCCTGTAGCATGAATTAGTCCAATTTTTACTATGATTTGAAGTTGGGAAGGGAGAGAAGATGTGGGCCTCTAAGAATACAGTAAAACTAATCCTTTACTGAATGAGGGATCAGACAGAAATATAAGCCATCTGATCTCCAAGAAGAGGTACCTGTGTGGGCAATGTGCATACCAGCAATGGTACCCACAACCAGCAATATTGTCAGAAAAGAAGGGAGTCAAGAACCAGCCTCATACACAGATGTTATGGTTCATATATCATAGAAATGTCCTTTCTAGATATTGACATTTGGCTGTTACGTGTTGCCAAACATGCCGTGTAGTGACAACAGATATTGAGCTTATTGTTCTATTGGATGAAGAAGATGAGGAAGAAATAAATTAGAGATGCTAACAAAACCAGAAGGCATTCCAGAAGGTTAGATCTTACCTAATATTAAATGGTTTATTAAGATGATAATTCAAACCCAGCTTATGTATATTGAGAGTTTATTCACTTACACATAAATAACTTCATTGGATTTAGAGATGCTGCTATCACAGTGGAGAGCAGAATGTAGTTTTTCTTTAGAATGGGTCTTGTTTCAAAATGCCAGAGATTATTTAAACAGGATTATTCTGAGTATTAAATCCATTTTCTGCAACAGACTACTTTTCAAGAATGTATTTCTTGTGAAATCTTTTCTTGATATATTTTCATTCTCAGAAGAGAAGAATAAAATCTCCTTTTTCAGTATGTATCAGAATATAGTATCATAGTAGCATGTGCAGCCAAATAAAAAGTGTAGGAAGAACATATCAATAATTCCAACTTCCATCATTTCCATTAATGAAAACAGATCTGGTTTATACTATTTTTCAAAATGCTAGTTCATGGATCATTTTAAGCACTTTCCAAAAGTGAGGACTAGAAATGTAGTACCTAATATAATATAATCTCTAACGTAAATAGTTGGCTTTGTTTTTTTTTTTTTTTACTTTATGTATAAACAGTAGCTACTAGTGGGTGATGTAAAATACATTGCTATTAAGAGAATTTAGTTGAACAAACTGAAGGTAATTCAATGAGGTCAAGGAAGCTAGTCTACCTTTACATTGTTTAACTAGGTTTTTTTTTTTTTGCATTGCACCACTGAAGTGTTGATGGGAATAGTTGTTAGCAATATTCACCTCTAAACTGATACCTTTCACAGTTTAAATGGAAGGATAAATGTAGATTAAGATAATTCATGTTCACCATCATTTCCACTTACAATTGGTACATCTCAAATGTTTTAGAGGAATTTCTTTTGGTGTACCCCTGATGCCAAACAGTAGGACAATTGGGCTGACAGGGACCTCTTTCAGGTGGTTTGGAATTGTAGCAATAGTCCTACATTGCCATCTCCAGCAGTCTGGAGTCTGCTGTGCTTTGCAGTATGGCAAATTGATCTACTCCAAGCACAGAGGAAGAAGAGAGCATGCCCTTTTTTCTAGTCAGCTGCAGTTTGGTCCATGCAAAGAATCAGCTACTCTTCAGTTACTAAGTTTTACCAGTTCTCCCTACAATGAGTTTTACTTCAGCTTCGGAAAAGCAAGTCCATACTGTCATAAGAGAGCAGAGAAAACAAGATTCTCTCTACATGTGTAACATTGTAATTAAGTCCATACTCTTTGTTCTGTTGCTCAATTCATGTATGTGGTTTAGAAACCAGTTTTCTTGCAAGATATTTAATATAGTAAAGGCTTTTGCATCTGTAGATTCTTAGCTGTCCAGATTTTCAGAGGTCTCTATGGTTGTGTTGTCCTTCTGAAAGCTCAGCTTGTTTAAAAAAGATCCAAGTCTTGAGTATGTAGGTGAATTTTGCCATCTGTTTAAAGATTAGTATTTAAAAAACAGACACCCAAAAGGACTCAGATGTGTACTGTATGCAGAAATGAAAGCTGTTTTTCATAAACATAGTCCTTTCTGTCTCTTTATCTACAACACCACCTTCCTCCTCTCCAATTTCCTAGTTAGATTGTGTGTTATATCAAAACCTACCATGGCCTTCAAAGAGGTGGATATTTTAAAAAGAAATTAATCAGATCATAAAGCTGTTTTCATATAAAGTATTAGTATGAAAATGATAGCTCTGTGTTATGATTATTGCGTTTTTTGGATGAGACATCTTGATAAGAATGCCTTTTGTGATTCATTTAAAGGAACTTTTATAATAGATAAGGGTAAAGGAGCCAAGATTGGTTTGGAAGCCAAAAAGTATCATAAGTATAATAAAAAGTTGATTAGAAAGTCTGTTTCCAGAAGTCTGTGTTGAACTTATTGAAAACCCTGGAGGTATGTCTGGTGATAATTATGTTTGAGAGAAGCAGACACTGATTTAGGCATTCGTTTTATTGATACCAAACTTTAAACTAGAAGTGGACTTGTGCCCTTATCTTATTAATGACTCAAGACCAAAATTTTAAGAAGTACTGTTTATTTTGCAGCTGGAGCAAGAATCCAAATGTTAACATGCTTTGGCTAGGAGTCTCTCTAACAAGAGAAACTCTTTCCGTGGTAGCTCCCTAGATGGATAGGTTTTTTCATCAGTATTTGGAAGATGCAGGAAACTATTTGCTGTTTTGATTTTCCTTCTAGCAAAGTAAACATATACCAGTTTGCATTTTTAGATTCTAGTGGGGAAAAAAACCCCACATTTAAAACTAGTGTAAGAGATGTGGTACTTTTTTGCAGCAAAAATAATAGCACTGTAATCTTCCGTAACAGAACAAAATGCAAATATAATACTTCTGCCATTTCAGTCCTTGTATGATGACACCCCTAATGTTAAACTTTTACAGATGCGGTCAGCACTAAATAATGTCAAAATTTGTTCTGTAAAATAGATAATATCTATCAGAGTTCACGATGCTTTATACAGTTTAGGTTTAAGTTGCATGCCCTTTTACCTTCTGTGTGCTTGGTGAATATATCCCACACTGCTGCACCTGCATGCTTGTCAGTACCCAGGCTCGCTCGCGTACTTCGGTGCAAGGTACTGTTTTCAGGACATCCTGGAGATGTACTTCATATTTTGGATCATTTAAAATTACTAGTATTTTCATTACATTTGCATGCTGCCTATACGCCATACTATAAAGGTATTGATTATAAAAAAGCATTGCAAATAGATTTCAGCTAAAAATTAAAGTCTTGTTATACAGTCTCGTCAACTGAAACTGGAATAATAACCAATGACCATGTTTTTAAGGGTAGTAAAGTCCCCAGAAGATGCAGAAATATTCTTAGATATATTTGGAAGAGTGACTAAACACCTAAAAGGCAACAGTGCACTATTATCCTATTAAAAATACTACCAAAAATAGTTTTTAAGACTTTGACCTAACATATATGTCCTAACTTTTCAGGATACTATTGGGATTTGAGTCTTACAGTGAAACCTTAATTTGATAAAGTACGTGTCCTGAATTGAATACGAAATGAGTCTCACTGTTTGTCTATCACACATTCAGTTTTTCCACAAGGTATCACTGAAGTTGTCCTCTTCCACCAGTTGAACTACATTTCCCACTAAAATTAGGATTTTATTCATTGCCATACATGATTATTTTATTAATAGTGAATAATTCTTAATATCCTGAAAAAAAATTAGTGGTTCAAGATGCATTCTGTTAGGGTAACCATATAATTTGCATTGATAGAAATACTGGAAAGTCAAAAATACAGTATGCTGTGGTTCAAAACTTGTTCATCCAAAAATTTTTTAATCTAAGTCCCATATACTGCTGTTTTACACAAGCTCTTGTAATTGTGCAACTGATGTATTAGGTTGTAGCTTATCTCCTTTTAAAATTATTCTTGTTTTCCAACTTTTTGAAGCACTTTCCAAATGTTACATTTTAGATTTTTTAAAAGGCTGCCAATTTGAAGTCATTTCCCCTAGAAAAATGAATTCTTTGTACCTTCTCCTCTTTTAACAATGTTAAAATGTTATAGTAAGCAAACAGGCACATAACAGGGTTTAACACTAAAAATGTTGTCATAACATAGCTATTGTACTCATTTTGCACATGATGATTTAGCGGTATAACTGAATATGTCACTGAATGATGGTAGAGAACAGAAACCCAAATTTAAATTCCTTATAGCTTTTTTTGTATGTCCTTATACTATTTTTAGTTGTACTGATACTGGTCTATAAAAAAAGTGCTTTGCTTTGCTTTCCCTTTTATAGTTGTTTGAGATCACAGTGCCTCTCTCTCATGGCCCCAAACCTGTAACCGTCAGTTTTGCCAATCACACGTCCTGCCGATGCATGTCGAAGTTGGATGTTTACAGACAAGTTCATTCTATCATAAGACGTTCCTTGCCAGCAGCACAAACTCAGTAAGTATGAGACTTGTCTTTCCTTTCACATTATGAGCAAACCCGTAGATTTAAAAATATTGCTGGAAACTTTCACAATTAAGATAGGTGAACTTATACACGTTAGTAGTAGTAGCAGAATGCTTTTTGTAAAGGAGCTAATATGTTTTACATGGAGATAATGTTACTAAAGTAATTAGCACAGCACCTTTTTAGCCAGTGGATAAACTGGGGCTAGGTCACTTAAAAATGAAAAATAATGTTGTTTGTGGGGGTTGTTTCATGGAAAGAGCTACAGTGCAATTGAGGCTTGAAGGAAACATCAATAAAATCAACTTTAAAAAAAAAAAGTAATCATAAAAGCTATCAAAAAATACTTACTTTTGCAAACAAGGAATAGACAATTTTCTGTCTCAAACTGTATTTTCCTATTTAAAAAGCTGTTAAAAAAAGGCCTGCTTTTAGGGAATCTTTGATGACAAATCTTTTTGGACATCTTCATACACCAGAAGTGAAAATAAAACAGAATGGGAAGGGGAAATAAAAGGTTAATTGATGGTCCACAGAATTAGCATGTTGATTTGTTTGGTGATTTTTGAATGAAAAAAGTCATAGAAGAAATCCGGCACTGAAGCAATTGTTATTAAAACACTAGAAGAACTCCTTCCTTTCGGTTTAGAGGGCTGAATGATGATTTCATGATATATAAATATTTAGTAGGCCAAAAATACATAACAATAACAGTTGCTTTACGGAAGAACCAATGATGAGAAGCTGAACTAGAATGAATTGTAGACATTTTTAATAGAGCAAGTGAATGGTGCAGAATGCCCAGAGATGTAAGCTAGGTCACCTTCTCTGTTTTCATTCAGTTAAAGTCTGGATGTTTTCTGACATGTTCCAGCTAAACAGAGATTATATTGTATTTAAATTCAGATTATTGAATATGTTCATCAAAACGTGGATCATAAACAGTGGACTAGAAGAATACTAAGAAATAAATCTATTAATAGTTTAATTAATTGCGTGATTAACAGATTATAAAAAATCAAAACCCAAGAGTCGATAATAAAGTCAAATTATGCTGAACTCTTGGCAGCTTCTCAGTGCTTCCAGATTAAGAGCAGTTGTAATTAGCATTGTAAGAGTTTATTCTAGCCAGGAAACAGCTACCTGTAGTTAGAGGGAAGTAAATGTACGGATACAAGACTTTGAGCAGCACTCACAGGTAGCTGGCTGTCCTGTGAGTAAGGATTCATGTTTCAACAAAGGCAAGACAGAGTAGTACTAGATCAGAATATATACAGGCCTTCTCTACTCTTAAGTATTGTTTTTAAGTTTAAAATCTTGGCTTTTTAGAAGAAAATTAATCTAAAAAACAAAACAAACAAACAAACAAAAAAAACCAACCCAAGCTGAGTGCTTCTAGCTTCTCAAAAGTAAAGATATTTACATGTTCCTGGTGGGTGCCTGGCTGCTTTTCAGAATCCCACTGAGGTTTTTTTAATTTGTACTAATGTGCTCAATTTCTTTTCAACTTCTTATTTTTCCTTAGCATTTTTATTTATAGGTTTGAATGCTAGTGAAATGGTTGTAAAGGCAAAACTTGGAAATGTACTTTCTTGTCACGGTGGCAGACCTGCATATGTGTGTGTATTTATGAACATGCTCATTTTAACAGAAATATAGTAATGACTTTGGTTTGTATTACTGAAAAGAAAAGCCTGAGAGTATAATCTCTGGTTTTAGGGTGGTAACATTAATTTAATAAGAATTCAAGGCTGGTTTATGCCATGATGCACAGGCACATGTTAGAAAGAAGAGAGAAATGACATGTAATATAGAATACAAATAGTCGATCTTTTTTTATATAAAATATATTTTCTGCACAACTTTATCCTGATAATTAAGGTCTAGGTCTTTGCCTGTTCTCCCACTTTTTTTTTTTTTTTTTTTTACTTCTACAAAGTAGTAGCTACTTCTACATACTTGCGGAGCTGAGGCACGTCAGTTCATGTTAACCAGTGTTTCAGAATACCTCCTGGATTAATGGTATCTTAAGTTGTATTCTTCTCTGTTTATATAGAATGTCATCAAGATGTGCAACTGACTTAGAAAATTGTCACTCTGTTTTAGTAGTTCAACAATTTGGGGTGGGGGCGGGGAGCAGAGCAGCCTTCAATATACATAATTCAGATCCAAGTCTCTATGATGACTTTTTTCCCTCCATGGTTTGTAGGTAGGCACTTACAGAGCTGATGAGCATACTTTAGATGTGGTTTTGGATGTATGTTGTACACATTAAATGTTTCCCCCTCTTGTGCATTATCTGTTCTGACACTGACAGGTAACAAGTTAGCATGCTGATGGGGTTTGTTTGGGGTTTTGTTTGTTTGTTTGTTTTCCCCAAGTTGAGTTGACAATGATTTGGAAAGAGGTAGTGAAATTTTCTGCAAAGTGATTTTGCCTCCAATTTTTTTTTCCTAGCCTTCCTGAACTTTCCTAAAATATTACAATAAGTCATTTTAAAATTTCAGCCATATCCCCCCGTAATTTTCTGTACTAGCAACAGGAGCAGAATTTGTAAACAAGCAGTTCCAGTTCCTTTTGCTGGGTGTCTCCAACCCTGACACTGAAATACATATCATTCTCTTCAAGTTCTGGTAACTTGGGTTTTGTATCAACATTGTCTTCTTCGTTCATGTGTGCTTGGTGTTTTCTTCATACTGTCACCCTGGCTTCCTTTTTAGTTAGTTTTGAACACTCCTGGCTAGAGCCAGGCTGCTCCAGGTGTGAGTTGGGTTTTTTGTTTGTTTTGTTTTAAAAACAGAATACAATAATACATCTGTAAATTATCCATACGATTTCTCAAGCAGAATCAGGAGGCAGGCAAAAGGACGTATGTGCCAAGTGAGGGAGCAAGAGTGAGATCATTAGCAGAATGAAATCACGAAACACCAGCTTGATAAAACATGAGGTGATGCAGGGTGATGTTAAACTACAGCAGTCTTTACAAGCAAAGAGTCGTTTAATGTGGTGAAGGGGAGTGGTATACTTGAATGATGATCACGGAAGAATGTCCCAGCATCTGCATTTTTGAATGCATGAGTAATGGTGCTCAGGGGAATGAAAAGTGCTTAAAATGTTTAATTTATGTGCCGTCTTAACAGATGAGGATTTTAGAAATACTACAGAAAATTAATAAATGGCACAGCCTGGATGCATGAAGTTAGGCATGACTTGTTAAAAGTTGTAGTGTCACCTGTGCTGATAAAGAAATTGCAAGCAAGGAAGATCAAATAACACACAAATATTTTATCTGTGGTGTACCTACTAGTTAAGTTCAGGCATCCTTTAAAAAGAGACCAACTGCTGTTAGGATTTTTTGCTTTCTTTGCTTACCACTACCTTGGCTGCAAAACTCTAGCAGGTAAAGAGCATTAAACTGTTAAATTGCTTATTGTCTTTAATTTCTAAAGTGAAGAGGCATCACTGCTGAAGTCCGTATCTTTAGGTTCAAGAAGCCTGTCCAGGATTTGAGTGGCTGATGAGAAAGAGTCAGTAAATGTCACAAAACTTGCACATAAAGGGGAAAGGAATCTGATAATCTAATTTTGGTTTAGAAATTAGAGTTTGGTCTACAGCATTCATTCAGAAATTATTGTCAGCTGTCTTTTGACGTCTATGTGTGTGAAAACGTTTTTGTACTGCAAAAAAACAATGTAGAAAATTAAGCCTGTTACCACCTATGGGGTGTTTGGCATGCAAAGATTTTTTATACTGGTCTATTTTCTATATGAGACTTACATTCAAGGGTTAGATCTGTTTCCAAACTACATTAGGAAAGTGCAAATGTCAGTTTTTAGAAGTAAGAGCTAAAACTTGAAATGTGAGAAGGTATCTTCAACCAATGGTTGAAGATTCCTGTAGTGGGGAGAACCTTAATTAGTAACAGATTTGATAGGAGTTAAAAATAAGATTATGAATGAGCTGAAGCTCTTTGAAAGGTTCTTGTAATGGAAGGAAACACAGCTAATTAGCACCTAAAATAATTTTTTTTCTTGAGTTCTTATGGTAGTAAATCAACAGTGTATTTCATTCCACAGGTGTCATGTGGCAAACAAGACCTGTCCAAAAAATCATACCTGGAATAATCAAATTTGCAGATGTTTGGCACAGCATGATTTTGGTTTCTCTTCTAACCTTGGAGATTCTGGTAAGCAGTTTTGCTTAAATGATTAAACATAGTTCCAGGTTTTGATTTACCTAAAGGAGAAATTAAAAACATGAAAAGTAAATAGTCGAATCTTTATTGATACTATTACCGGTTGTTGCCTGTCTTTTGACATATGTTTGTTCTTAAAACACCTTAAAATGTATGAATTTGATACCATTTCTTCCCTTAAAAATACGGGATAGGTAGAGACACAATTCTGATAATTGTGCAACTTCTCTGCTGTTATTTCTAGACACATCTGAAGGCTTCCATATTTGTGGACCAAACAAGGAGCTGGATGAAGAAACCTGTCAATGTGTCTGCAAAGGAGGTGTGCGGCCCTCAAGCTGTGGACCTCACAAAGAATTAGACAGATCATCGTGTCAATGCATGTGCAAAAACAAACTTCTGCCTGCTTCCTGTGGGCCTAACAAGGAATTTGATGAAGATAAGTGCCAGTGTGTATGTAAAAAGACCTGTCCTAAACATCAGCCACTAAATCCTGCAAAATGCATCTGTGAATGTATAGAATCTCCCAATAAATGCTTCTTAAAAGGAAAAAGGTTCCATCACCAGACATGCAGGTAAAAACTCAGTCTTTAGCCATTTCATTGTGTTTAAGGTATAAAATTTTGGGTTGTGTCATTAGCTGTCTTGCTGGATTGTTTTGAAGCCTTAAGTAAACAGTAAGCCTCTCTTCAATTCAGTTTTATCTTCTATGACTTTTATCATCTCTAAGAGGAAACTACTAGGCAGAAAGAGTATTTTAAAGCATGTTTAGTTTCTTGTACTCTTACTACTACTTCATGTGATTTTTTTTCTTTTCATCAAAAATGAGGTGTAAGTTCAAGCTCCCCGGTTTTTTTTATGCTGCTTAAAATCCCATTCTATTTTTTCCAAGAACCAAATACTGCAATTCAAATAACTCAAATATTTCTAATTAGATTTCAGGGATTAGTTCTGGAGATTACCATCATTCATTTTCACTTCCTAAATTTTTGCATATCCTTCATTTCACTCAACTGATACTAAAGATTTATGAGTGCATAAAAAGTCTTATAGCTCTGTGTGATTTCTGTGAAAAGTAGACATATATAACTATAAAACACACTGCCCACATTCGTAATTTAAAATGGGATTTGGTCAGGAAGAAAACTCTGCAATTTCTTTATGTGTCACAGGAGCTTTTCCTTCCACGACTGCTACACCCATAGTGGTAGCAGTCTATATATAAAAATGTGAATTACTTCAGTTTCTGAGAAACAAAGAGTATTATTTCTGCTTTGTATATTTTGTGAGGAAAGTTTTCCTGTAAGATTAATTTGTTAAAACAGAAACAATCACATTTGGGGCAGAAAGATCACTTATTTATTAATATATGGGAATTATTTGTATTATATTAATGACAAATAACAATTCCAGAAAGGTTAAAAATAGAAAATTGAGACATTTAAATGTCTGTGGTAATTTATTGCTTATCAAAAGTAAACCTTATGTATTTTTTAATATAACATGTAATTAGTTGGCATAAGTATATTGCTAGATACATGTATACATTAGTTCATCTTGAACAAAGAACAAATGAGTAATATTAGGAATGAGACCTGCGTTGAAGTCTCTCAAATTAATAACTGACATTACCTGTTTTCCTGTGTTTGACCTTTTGAGTGGAACAGAAGAGTTGTTAGAAACATAAGAAATAATTTCTTCTCTATTGTTCAGTTCTTATTTCAATTTTATGTTTACAAAGGGAAAAAAACCAACCTTATTACATTTGCTTTAGCACATTACAGAGCCTTAGTGGTACTCAAGCATGCGCTTCCAGCAGTGCTACACATATAAACTATGTGTATTTTAGAAGAACATTCACAACTGGAAAAGTCAGGCATTTAAAAAGCTAAGAAATGCTGTAATAGATACCTGATGCCACCTCTATTGATGTAAAGACTTAGTATTGGAAGGAGGGAATTGAGCTCAGATTTTCTCTGTGTTGTGGTTGAATACAATAAAGAGTTTGAATCCCTTTCTCACTTCCAAGGACAATGTGGTATAGGATGCTTTTAGCTGTTGCTCTTTTCTAAGCAGTTTGTCTTTGTGTGGAGGAAGAAAGATTTGTATATGCTGTTACTCTATAGCTCTACAACCAATAGCCCTGTACATAGTAGCGCTGTCAAGGAAAATAGAAGATGCAATCTCTCCTCCTTCTTAAGAAAGCACTTAGCATAGGTTTCTCACATTTTCGGTGTGTCCACAAGCTGTCTGTAAAAGGAATAAAAACCCTGCAACATCATGTTTATCTTTTGAAAGAAAGATCCCTTGCTGTTGTAAGACCACATAAGTGGAGGTACCACTCTATAACTTTGTGCAAGATGGCCGAGACCTAGACATGAGCAGACCCCTGTAGCCATGTCCTAGACAGTTCCCCATGCAGACAGATAGTCCTTATACATGCTGGTTTTGAAGCACCTGCATTTTTATGCGCTGTACCTAAAATGCTTCTGCCTCTAGTGTTAGACCCTGCTTCAGACAGGAACAAAATAGCATTTAGGATAGGAAGAAAAAACAAAAGGAAAAAAAAAAAACACCAACACCATAAAACATACTGATTTTTAAGGTGATCATGCTGTTACTACCACTAGAAGTAGCATTCCTACTTCAGTTTCATCTGTGCAGATGTTAGACTCTCCAAAATCTCAAACGTGAGCATTTGGTAGCAAAAATCACAATTACTGACTGAAAAGAGAAAGTTGCCACTGACTCTGCCAGCTATATACATATTAACTGCACATCTATCTTACCTCCAGCATGCTCAGACTGTCCTCATCAAAACAGACATCTGTGACATGAAAGCATTCCATAAACAACATTCAGCCTAAATCTTTTGAAAGACCTGGTCTATTGTTCAGCAGTTTCCTAAGGAAGCAACATTTATATAGTTACAATGACTCTGCTACTATTCACCCTGTGCTATCACCTCAAAAATTTATTTTGGTCAGTTTTGGCAGGGCCAGATAAGTAGGCACCTCAGCTGCAAAGCATTTTAGAGGAGGAGAGGGGCTTTCTTGCTCTGTTGAAATGTCCCAAATAAGGATAAGACTGCAGTAACCTGACCTTGACTGCTGCTAGACACAAACTCACATGGGAGAGATGCTTTATAGCACTGTCAACTATAAGTTAAGTTGAAGTTCACAGTTCACTAGGAGGCATGAATCCTAAACAAAGTGAACTCCTCATATTTAATGATTACGTGACTGCTTTTCATTTTGTGCAACATGTCATAGGTGGGTGGAAGAGTTTGGCTTTGTCTTTTTTTGTTGTTGTTCTTATTTTTCTCTTATTTCATTCTGCGGTCATTCAGTACATGAAATAGTCTGACTTTCATGGCAGAGATGAGCAAAAAGGCAAGTGAGTTCAGTGTTTAATCCGTTGCGTCTCTGTGGAGTACCTTTTTCCCCAGAACAAACCTACTGTCGGTTGCCCATTTGCTCAGAGTATTAGATTCTTTGGCAAACATGCGAGACGGTAAAGTTCACTTGCGTTTTTTCTCAAGTGACACTGTGATTTTTGTTGCCTTTTACCATTGTTTCCAAACTTTATTGGGCAACAGATCAGCAGGGCTTTGAGAGATTCTCATGAGCTGTTACACTGATCTCAGATATATCAAGTGGCACAAAATGTTACTCCCTTAATTAGAAAGACCACACTGGTGAAATAATCTATGATGAATGACATTGAAAATACTGAACAAGATGTGACTAGTTAATAAATGTCATGTTTACAGTCTTCCTCATTCCTTATTGTTTTCCTCATAGCCAGGTTCATTAGTTGAACTAGCTGGCTTGACTTGATGTAACTGTAATCCAGACCTCATATCATAAACACATTAGTGCAAAGTAGTGACTTGGTATCCAAAACAAGCACACAACATATTAACTTATCTGCAACAATAATAAGAGTAGCCACAAGCCTGAAACAAGAATTGCCTAGGGAAGAGGACAGTGACATCGCCTTAATATAGTGTACTGTAGTGTCTTTGAATTGAAGTGAGTATGGGTTAGAGTAATAGATCATAATACCAGTGTTTCACAAACAGGCACACATTATTTAAATACAAGTTTTAAGTATAACTGTGTCGAAATTCGAAACATATATTTTGTCTTTTGACTCATTGCCAGCATCTGAAAAAAAAAAAACCCAGACTTGTACTTTGTCTCCATTATACACCAGAAAGTATTTAGCATTGTTATTGTAAGGTTATTTTAGGTCAAGTTCTTGTTTTAATAGAAAAATAAAATAGGAAAAGGAAGAGTTCAGGGACAACCACAGATATTATCGTTGTGTAAGTTCTATTTTTCAGTCAAGGAACCTGTGAAGAAAAATTCTGCTGCTTCTTAGGTAGATGTGACTTTTGGTTTAATGCTCTATTTCTGTTAAATTTATTTTAATCAAATAGGGGCTATTTCTGTTCTTTCATTTAAGATTTACCATAAACATGCAGGCTCTGCTCTTACTTCAGAATGCACACAGATGCAGTATGAAGTGTAGATATATCCCCACTGGCCTCAGAGAGTGGCTGTAGCAGTTTGCAACTTGAAAGGAAGCACGTTCTCATTTTCAAGATCAGAGTCACAGTGTAACATATGTAGACAAATCTCTCTCAGTCTTACTGCGTTAGTGAATAAGGTGAGAAACAGTCCTGGGTAAGAAGATGGTAGATCTGATTATCACCTGATTCTGGATTGCCACCTCAAACTGGCACCATGCAATAGGTTGTAACAAGCCAATTTGAGTACAGAAAATATTACTATATTTTCAAAATTAATTTTTAAAAAGTACCACTCAAGATTAGAATGCAACTACAACCAGACAATATGTTAAAAATATTCATGGGTATCTGTTGCAATAGAATAATTTCTCTTCACTAGCATTCATTATTCTTTCATTGTCTTTTGTGAAGAATAGTCCAATTAAAAGTAGTTGCAAGAAGATAAATGGAAGTAAAAAAATATGGGTTTGTAGCAATTAAATATCCCATCGAGAAATGACAATCTAAATGCACACAGATTTCTACTCCAGGTTAATATAAATGAACATGTTATCTTAATGCCCGCTTTTTCTCATTTCTTTAGTTGTTACAGACCGCCGTGTACAGTCCGAACGAAACGCTGTGATGCTGGATTTTATTTTAGTGAAGAAGTGTGCCGCTGTGTACCCACATATTGGAAAAGACCACTTATGAATTAGTGAAGAGAGCACTACTTGCTATTTTGGTGTACATTTTTCCATTACAACAAAAGAACAACAGAAACTTTGCTAATATTTGGAATTAAATGTTCACCAGAGACCCTGTGGGGCTTTCAGAGACAGACACATTGTGCTTTTCTCAAGATGTGGAAAGCAAATGTAGAAAATAACTGAGGTTCATGTTTTGTAAAGAACTCAGTAAGGACTTATTTTCTGCCAATGACCAAACAGCCTAGGTTCTCCTTCTTGTGATTTTTTTTTTTTTTTAAAAGAGATAATGACTATATAATTTATTTCCACTAAAACCATTGTGCAGCATTTCTGTTTATAGCAGTAACAATTGTTAAAGCTCACTGTGATCAATATTTTTATATCATGCAAAGTATGTTTAAAATAAAATGGAAATTGTATTATATAATGGTGAGAATGTTTAATCATCTGCCTAAAGAAAGGAACTACAATTCAGCTTTATTATCAGAGTTCATAAAAGGGGGAAAGGTGATTAAGAGAAAGCACTTTTGTGAAAGGAAGACTACAGACATTTTCTCATACCTGTTATATATGTCTTTCTTTGAAACAGAAAGAGTTATACTTAGTGTTTCATGACCCAGTGATATTTCTGTCTCTAGAACAAAACTAGCAAAGCAAGTACAACTAATAACTAATGAAAATATTGGAGAACCTGCACATTGCCCAAGGATAAGGACTATGTTTAAAGGACAGCAGCAACTACTCACATTCCAATATGTTCACTTTTTATTTTACTTCTTGTTAGCATTTCTAAAGAATAATGTAAAATAATGTCTATTGGAGGTTATTAGTAGGAAAGTGGAAATCCCAACTGTGGTTTTTATTTAGTATTACAGGCGATATTGTAAAATTTACAACTACATAATTCAGAATGCTTTGATGCACTTTTACATATAGTCAATCAGATGTCTTGGTCAAAAATGTATCTGTGTGCAAAAATACTTTGAAGAAAAATAATACATTTTACATTCCAATGGGGATATGAAAGGACTTCCACCAGTCTAGTATGGATTGACATCATCTCTACATAAAAAAATGGTCAGGACTTCTCTTTATTAAAGAGAATGAGAAATCAAATATCTACAACTCTGAAAAGAGGTAAGATTTTTAACTTGCATGGGAAGAGCAATGTGCATAGAATAATCTATTCAAAATTAAAATGTTTCAGAAGCTGGAAGGAAGTTGTTAAACTATGGAAACTTTATTGGGTGCAGAAGTGGAACAAGCAAAGCTGCAAAGCAAGAATTTGTGACAGGCGTGGGCAGATCTGCAAAAATAATTTTAGATGTCATTATTCTGAAGTGCTGGTTCTAAGCAGCTGTTCTTAAAAGGGTTATTAATTAAATTGTATTATTTCTAATTATTTCCTAGAAAGTTGGTGATAAGGACTTGCTTTTCTAGATCCTTGAATATTTAGATATCAGAGTTCCTAAAACTGAGTGAAAGCTACTTCTAATTTCTCAGCCCCCATCATGAGTTGAGACAGTCTAACAAATAGGCAGGATGAGAAGCAGTTTGAGAGTTCACACTTTCCACTGTATGTCTAGTGTCCTCAATGTTCTTCCTAAGAAGCCAGCTATTTGTTATCCAAATAGGATAATAGGATGAAGTTTAGGCATACAAATACTGAGGAATGTCTTTATTACTATATTGCCTCAGCAATCAAATGCAGGTAGAACTCAGGATGACAATTTAACATTGAAACACAACTTCATGCCAGTATAACAACACACAATTCCCATCAGTTGGATTCATAGTCATGCAAATCAACAGTGTCTAAACTGGCAATGTCAATCTAAATAGCAAGAGGTTAATAGCCAAAACTTCATTCAGTATTACTAGAGATCCAGGCACCCACTTCTATATGTCAGCCGCTTGAAGGAAGCATAAAATACCTTAACAAAACAATTAAGGAGCAAACTTCAATGAAGACTTGAGAAAACAAGGTGAAGCTCCCAAACTAGGCTTTTTAATTTCTATCCAAGCCCAATACAGAAGAGAGGCAGTGGGGGAAGGACAAACCAAAGCTGAAACCAGGAAATGATGCTAAGGAAGCCAGTATCTAACAGATAAAATATGTACTTGTGGTTAAAAAGGAGGGGGGCACAAGTGAAGACAGAGCAAATCTGAATTCTAACAAGTAATACTGTGTAGATTATAAAAAGTGCATGTTACAATACTGTGCAAAAAAAAAAAAAAAAACCAAACCCTCCTAAACTGAGCAATGCTTGCTTTATATGTCTAAACTATCTGAAGGGAGTTCATGAAAACAGACCTAATAAAAATCATTCTGGCTAAGCAGATTTTTGGATTTCTACTGAGCATGCTACACTCCAAAATCATAAAACCCATCAGGGAAGGCAGGGATTTTGAAAATGAGAGCACTGAACAGGAAGCTCCAACTTTCTTACAAACATCAGCATTCAATAAGAATTACTTTCTCAAATACCTTTTTCTTTCTTTTTTTTTTTTTTTTTTTTCCAATTTCTTAACTTTCCACTGAGACTTTTGGACATATATTATGTAAATCATTAAGTAAAACTAAGATTTAAAGAAAGCAAAGAGCTGACTTCTAAAAGTTACCACAAATCAGGTTTATGTCTGAGCAAAGTGACTGGTGAACTGTTCTCAAAGATATGCAGATGAGTAGAATAATTTATGCAAGCAGTTGATAGCATTTTCTGCTAATCAGGCTCTCCAATTCTGCTTTACATGAAAACAGTGGGGTTTTTTTAAATGCTTTATACACGAGAACACAATTACTATTGTTAGTATAGGCTACAGATATGCCATTCTATGTGATAAAATCTGATTCTGTTTATCTCAGTACTGTCACAAAATCATCTATATTTAAGCAAGAGTTTATCTGTGGAGAAAGAGAGTGGTGGCATAATCTGCACAGCAGGTCTTCCTTGCATCTATTATATAAAGTAGCTGATAGATTTACACTGTTTTCAGTTTTGAAGTGTTATTTAATTATAATCATCTCCTTGCAATTTTCATCTTCATTTCAAATCTTAATTTAGTATTCTTAAAATATATAAATAAGAAAGATCTAAAAATGTAGGTGATCATTCTATATACAAGTTATTCTGCACTAACGCTGAATAAAAAGTTTATATTGTTATTTGTCTAAAACCCCTGTACCTTCCACAAAAGGCAGGAACGTGTGTAACTGCAGTAAATCACATTTAGTAGCAAACAGACTTATGTTTGTATTTCATCAGGAATTTACAACAGTTTCTGTACTCTTTCAATATAGTACTATGCAGAGCAACCCCTCTCTACCTGTATTAACAGAATGCATGCTATTTACAGCATGAGCATTGTTAGTCTGCTGACGGTTGTTTAATTCATGTTGAACAAGTTGACAGCAAACCAATTCTCTTAGTTCTATTTGAAAGACCAGCGTGAAATCTCGCATATGTACCATATCATCTTGAAAGGCTTAGTGTTAGGATTGCTTTTAATATTCTCATTTTCAGTCTTCAGATCTCAGTGACAACTCCAGATGCCCTTGAATTTTAACATCTCTCTCTCTCTCTCTCTCTCATATATATATATTTTCTGGAAATATAACTAGCTATCACATCTATGCCAAAAGCTAGGAATGGAATAATTTATGCAGCCAGTAAGCTCATCAGCAGATTAGCCTGAGGAACAGAATATGTTCTTTTAACTATTATTTAATTTATATTTAATTTAAGAA